TTTCCTTTTTTTTTTTTTTTTTTTTGTACCAGAGATTGAACTCAGGACCTCACACTTGCAAAGCAGATGGTGGAACCACTGAGCTAAATCCTTGGCAACAATTTCATTTTTAAACTGCATGCCTACATAAACATGATAAAACTTCAAAGTTTCAAATTAAAAGTGTGGTTTACTTTTGTCATAATGGATAATATGTAGAAGAAAAGTATGGCAAAAAATTTTGGAATGTTTTCATCTTTCTTTATTTCAAATTATTCTCCAAATTACCTCTGTGTTTTGAAAAGTATAAATCATATTCTGAAGGAAGTATCACTCCCTAATTTTCCCTCTCATTTTAGCAGAAAAATCTCCATGGTAGAAGACTATATGTCGCAGTGAGGCAAGGGAAGAGGAAGTAAACATGGTACTAAGGAAAACATAAAAAAAAAAAAATCTGTGTTTCTTACAGGTGTCCCTAAAATTCCTAAGTTTTTTTTTTTAGAATATCTCCCCATGTTTACCAAAATTATGCAAGGGGAAGATCTTGTTAAACTTAATGGGAAACAAGAAAGGAGGATGGATTTTTATAACTACTGTATATAAATATTTGAATTATGTATAAAAAGCTAACAAAGTACACGACCAATTACAAAACTGCAGCAGAAATAATATCTTTACCATGTATAGCATATAGAATGCAAGTAAAGCAAGATTGACTCTGGAAACAAAATCTATCAAAAGACAGGTGGGTGATATGACCAGATGGAGGTATAAACTCTATCAAATAGAAATACAAATTAACATTTACAGCAGCTTGTTTCCCCATGTTAAGTTGGCAAAGCTTTAAAAAGAAGAAAGCACCAATGATGGTGCAGGTACAAAGACTCCCTTAAGCAGTGGCTGCCAATAAAGCAGAAGGAAGGGCCAGCCTGGATCATATACACTGGTAAAAATCACAGCTCTTCCACTGATTTGCTGTGTGACCCTAGGCAGCAGAACCATGCTAAGCATCAATTTTCTCATCTATAATTCATAAGGATATACTTATGATTACTGGAAAAATCTCTGAGAAAAAGTCATAATTAATCGGCAGTTTAAGTAGCTATAGCATCTGACCCAGTTATATTGCTCCGGGAGTCTCCCTCAAAGAAATGACCCCTAGCATGAAGAATCGCTTCCTGGACAAACATCCCACTGTAATAAAAAGCAGCAAACTGAAAACAATCTAGGTGGGGATGGGTAAGGAGTCAGGGACAATGTTGGCAAGATGGATAGTCTGGTGCACACACACTCTTGGGGCCTCAGCTATATCTCCTGATTCAGAATCTGAAGTGGCTCAGATGCACTCATAACTCCGAGGAGCAATGGCCTAGGACATGACTACTTACTAAACCACTGAAAAGTAACTTTATCATGATTGCGTAGGAAGTTTATACTGTAAATATTTTCATCTCTTAAGAGGGAAACCAGAAAATAAAATGTTTGGTAAACTTATCACTTTGCTTTAAAAAAAAAAAGCTATGCATAGAAAAAGTCTAGCATTAAAAATGTTCACAGGGTTAGCAAGGCCATGGGAAGGGTTTCTCTGGATATCTGTTTGAGGACAGCTTTTGTTTCTTCTTTTCCTTGGGCCAGAGAGAAATTATTCTATTTTTGTTTTGTTTTTTGCCACACTGGGGATTGAGCCCAGGGAATGCTGAGCTACACCTCACCTCTTTATAAATTTTGTTTTGAGACAGGGGTCTCAGCAAGTTGACCATGCTGGCCTCAAACACACAATTTTCCTCCCTCAGCTTTCTGAATACCTGGGATTATAACATGAGCCACCATGCATGGCTGAGAGGGATTCTTCTGAGGCTCTGTCTGTCTGCAGTTAAGTATAGTTCTGGCTTATTTTTGCCGCCTTTAAATCTAGGTAGGAGAGGTAAGTTAAAACACAAAACAGGAAAATTGGGGCTGGATCTTTCAAACTTTGCCTTTTGGTTTTCTTCCTTAGTCTGCCTGCTACCATTTACTTTTGAGCCCTCAAAGAGGTGCTGTATATATTTTGCAGTGTTTTTGGATGGAATGAGTGGAAGAAAAGGATGAAGCATGCTTATTATTCTACTGTAGTTGGTTTTCGCTTTTTGGGGGGGGGGTACCAAGGATCAAACTCTGGACCTTGTGCTTGTGAGGCAGGCGGCAGAACCGCTGAACTAAATCCCCGGCCCTATTCTACTGTAATTGGATTTGGACTCTCTCCTCCCAGTAGGCTCTGAATGTCCATTTTATTTGGTATCGGGGATCAAACTCAGAACCCTTCACTTGCGAGGCAGGCGGCAGCACCACTGAGCTAAATTCCTGGCTCTGAATGGCCATTTTTGAAAGCAGTGTTAAATTAGGGACATTTGAATAAAAACTTGCAGTACATACTACAAAGTGATGGCAAGAAAGCATTGGATTTATATGGTCTTCTAGTGCACAGAAAATCACTTTTGAGAAAACATAAGGAAACTTTCTCCATATGC